ATCCTATGCATTTTCAGCTATCAGGCTACTATAATCAGCCTAATGCAGATTGATTTTTCTTCCTGCAGTTTTAAATCATGTTCAGCTTCTTTCAATCCAGCTTCTCTTTATATTCATAAATAAGAGGAAAGTGTGCAGTCATCTCACTTCTCTGCCAACTTGGAGCCAGTCTTTTGATCAGTTTGGTCCGTAGGGGGGCTTCCTGACCTATATATAGATTTCTCATGAAGATTATTAGTTGTTGTGGAATTCTCATTTTTATAAACACATTCCATAGTTTGACATTATTGAAAAGCCTTTCTATGATCAATGAAGCACTGATCTAAGTTCACCTTCTAATACAAGGGTTCTCAACCTTCGCAACTTTAAGACTTGTGGACTTCAACTCCCAGAATTCCTCAGCCAGCAAAGCTGTTCTAATACGACGTTTATATTGAGTATAAATAAGATCAACTAAGAGACTATAAAGTACTAAGCTGTAAAATGCTCTATGGTGGCAGACTACGATTACACTGAAACTAAACGAAAAAACTGAGCATGAAACATGACCTAGAAGTCATCATTCTATTTACAATCAGACTAGAAATCATTGCTCATAATTGGTGATGCAAGACCAATAATAATAATAATAATAATAATAATAATAATAATAATAATAATAATAATAATAACCTGGGCAATCCCAGTCATTAGGTACACAGCTGGAATAGTGGACTGGACTCAAGCAGAACTAAAAGCAATGGATAGGCAGACCAGAAAAATAATGACAATGAATCATGCCCTTCATCCACGCAGGGACATTGATAGACTTTATCTACCAAGGCAAATAGGTGGGCGTGGAATGCTACAAGTACATCAGATGGTTGAAGAAGAAAAAATGGCTTTGGAAGAATATCTGAAGAACAATGATGAAGATGCACTGAAATTAGTATATGAGGAAGGCTTACTAACCACTGGAGAGACCAAACTGGCCTACAAGAAAGACCAAATGAAGAACAGAATAGAGGCATGGAAAGACAAAGCACTACATGGCCAATACATTAAAAAAATAGCTGGGAAAGCAGATAATAACAAGACATGGCAATGGCTAAGAGCAGGAAAATTGAAGAAAGAGACCGAGGGACTAATTCTGGCTGCACAAGACCAAGCCTTAAGGACAAATGCATATAAAGTCAAAATTGAGAAGACAGCAACAGACAGTAAATGCCGCCTATGCAAAGAAGCTAAAGAAACAGTGGACCACTTGATAAGCTGTTGCAAGAAGATTGCACAGACTGACTACAAGCAGCGGCATGACAAAGTAGCAACAATGGTGCAGTGGAAGATCTGCAAAAAATATCATTTGCCTGTAAGCAAAAACTGGTGGGATCATAAAATAGAGAAAGTCATAGAAAATGATAAAATTAAACTGCTCTGGGACTTCAGAATTCAACAGACAAGCACCTGCAACATAACACCCCAGACTTAACAATTGTCGATAAGAAAGACAAAAAAGTCTGGATAGTGGACATGGCAGTGCCTGGAGATAGCAGAATAGAAGAGAAAGAACTGGAGAAGATAACAAAATACAAAGACCTACAAATAGAAATAGAAAGACTGTGGCAAAAGCAAGCAAGGGTAGTACCAATAGTCATAGGCTCCTTGGGTGCAATCCCAAACAACTGGAGCACCACTTGAACACAATTGGCATTGACAAATTCACTATTAGTCAATTGCAAAAGGCGGCCTTATTAGGAACTGCTTCCATCCTGCGACGATATCTGTAATACCATCAAACATCCACATCTGCCTATCCCAGGTCCTGGGTAAGGACTCGATAGGTAGAAAAAATGCCAAATCCAGTCTGAACATCTGGCTGACTGTGCGATGATCAATAATAATAATAATAATAATAATAATAATAATAATAATAATAATAATAATAATAATAATAATAAAGTTGGAAGGGACCTTGGAGGTCATCGTCCAAACCCCTGCTCAGGCAGGAACCCTACACCATTTCAGACAAATGGCTGTCCAGTCTCTTCTTAAATACTTCCATTGTTGGAGCATTCACCGCTTCTGGAGGCAGGTTGTTCCACTGGTTAATTGTTCTAACTGCCAGGAAGTTTCTCCTTAGTTCTAAGTTGCTTCTCTCTTTGATCGGGGCATGGCCGCCATGGCACTTCTGGGATGCCTGGGTGATCTGTGGCGGGCCATGGAGGCGGTGAGTGGCCCTGCGGGTGGGTGGGATGGTGGGCAGGGTAGGGGGTGAGGTGGGTGGGGCAGAGCAGGCAGGACGAGGGCAGAGCAGGGGCAGGTGAGGGAGCAAGGCGGGGCTAGTTTTTGGGCACTCAGTCTCTAAAAGGTTCACCATCACTGCCCTATACCATTTCAAACAAATGGCTATCCAGTCTCTTCTTGAAAACTTCCATGTTGGAGCATTCACAGCTTCTGGAGGCAGGTTGTTCCACTGATTAATTGTTCTAACTGTCAGGAAATTTCTCCTTAGTTCTAGGTTGTTTCTCTCCTTGATTAGTTTTCATCCATTGCTTCTTGTCCTGCCTTCAGGTGCTTTGGAGAATAGCTAGACTCCCTCTTCTTTGTGGCAGCCCCTGAGATATTGGAACACTGCTATCATGTCCCCCCTCGTCCTTCTCTTCATTAAACTAGACATACCCAATTCCAGCAGCCGTTCCTTATATGCTTTAGCCTCCAGTCCCCTAATCATCTTTGTTGCTCTTCTCTGTACTCTTTCTAGAGTCTCAACATCTTGCTGATGTATCCATGAGGCTACCAGGTCTGGAGAAAAACAGTATTCAAAAAACCCTCTCAATATAAAAGAAGCACTGCTGGATTTTATCAAAGCAAATCTTATTCTTAACCCTCTTTCTTGGAGGCCAGTGATATTCAGCCTTCTACTATTATTGATCTCAGTGTTGATACTCATATAGTTAACTCTTATGAGAGATGTATCCCATTGTCTTTTCTTCTGCTATAGTCATCTTGTGGTGATGAATTTCATAAACCAGAACATATTATCTCTCTTTTTAAAAAATTGGATGTACTGTACATCCAATTAGTTTTACTGAGCAACTCCAGATTGTTTTTTTTCCCTTGCATAGCCTTTAATTGAAATAACTGGATCCAAATTTTTCCTTTAAAGAGAAGAGCCTATCTTGTTAAAATTCATTTGGGACCTTATTTTTGTTTAGATATTACATATCCTTTTGGGGGAAGGCAGAATTTTGCTCAATTTACATTTACATTTTTTATTTAAAACTATTTTGTTGATGTGTTATTTAGATATATCTGGCTGCATTTACCTTCAGATATTGGTGTATTTTTCTGTATAGGTTTAAGTATTATTGGTCTTTGATTCTACATAACAAAGTTGATGTTAAAATGGCTTTAATTTGCCATATCCAATTGGCCATTTGGATGATATGCATGTTTAGAACAAGCATTTGTCCTAACTTTGCTTCTTTTTCCTCCTAAAAATTATATGTATAAGAAATTGTGAGCATGCACTTATGCTCATTCTGAACTTGGCAAGATGATTTTATGCTGCCTGCCATTCCAACCAAGCATGCAGCATTTGGAGGACACCAGGCTGGAGTAGCTGGCCTGAAGACTAGAGCCTACGAGTTGTTGAGCTTTCCTTGTTTTAGCTTTTCGACCCTGGTTGTCCTGTATCATACTATCCTCCCTCCCATCTTATTACCAATATTTAGCCTTTTGTATAATGTATACAATTTGGTTTCTATAATTTGTTGGAAGTTCTGTATGTTGATATTTATGGATCAATTTTCCTTCCCATTTCCCTAGGCCAAAATAGTAGATGATGATTTTGTCAGTAATGATTTGAGTATTTGTAATCGCATATTTCAAAAGTTTTGCTTCCTCCTGAAATCTAGTCTAACTAGCTTTCTGGTGACCTTCTAAAACTAGCTGTTGTTGTGCATGTCTTCATTTTATAGACCAGAGGTGAGGAGCGTTCCCTATCTTTGACTGGCTCCCCCCCCAAAAAAAGCCATTTAACATACTACCTAGAAGACAGAACAACCTCTCCTTTTAGGAGAGGACCTTGTGTGGTAGCCCTTTCACTGTCACTTCAGGTTTCACTGTCTGAAATACTTCCCCGAGGTAAAACTGTGCTCTTCGTCTCCTCAGTTGCAAAATTTTATACAGATTCAATTTCTTCCTCTGTATCAGGAATAGATAATCTATGGGCTTCTGGCAGCCCCTACTATTATACTGTGTGTGGCTTCCAAAGACACTGACCTTGTGCTGTTGAAAAATGAAGGCACATTTTTGCTTAAAAAAACCCCAAGGAAACAAGGAACATATTAAATCTCTAGTAGGGGTTAATGCACCTATTTTAATAAAACAACAACACTATGGCTCAAATTCTTTTGAAGTGAAACATGAAAACTACCATTTGTGTCAGTGGGAACAATCAATTTTCTTCCTCCAAGATACACATTTTTATTCCCATTGTGCTCTGAGTACATATTTTGTTGTTTTTATTTAGCTTAAATCAAGAATATACCACAGTGTTTGGAGAAATATAAAAACTTGAATGAGAATACTCTTGGAAGTATAAATTGGCTTGACTTGCTTAACAGTGAGAATGAAATGAAATTTTTAACAATCTCTGCTTACAATGCTGTAGAATTGACTTTTACATTTCCCTTTCTTTGCCTCACTATCTCAGTTTGGAGATTGTAAAAAGCACTTTTTGAAGATTTTTCCCTTTGCTGGTTCTTGAGAAAGGGAGAGAGCCTTCCATCAGCCATATTGATTTCATCTTTTTTTCATAAATGTTTAAGTCACTGCTTATACCAAGTAATTGGATTATTGTTTCTCTGGAATCTTTCACATCTGTAATATGTTATTTTTTTTCTCCCCCCTCCCCTTTCAAAATAAAAAGAAAACATGAATATGAAGCTACCTACTAGACCACCTGTCTATTTTATCACTTATTTATTTTTTAGCATCCAGTGATTTTTCTCTTTCAGTTGTGAAAGCTGTGTGGAGTTGCTATTTGTTCGGGGAGCTGGGAATTGCCAAGAGTGTGATACCCCTTTGCGGAAGAGCAACTTCAGAGTACAACTCTTTGAGGATCCAGCTGTTGACAAGGAGGTGGAAATCCGTAAGAAGGTGCTGAAAATGTAAGTATCAGAAAGCCTCAATTAAGAGAAGCCACTTCTTTTTTTGTTTGTGTTTTCAAATTCATTTTAGCCATGTTTATGAAAAGGGTTTGTTTAAAATATTTGCAAAATATTCTTATTTTGGATCTCAATATATTGCTCAGGAAAGTATTTTTTTTGTTTTCTAGTATTTTTCTTTGGGTTTTTAAATACAAAATAGGGCAGAGCAATGCATAGAAAAAAAGAAACAGACACCTGATTTGTGCATAAATATCATTCCATATGACAATATGTCAGGCAGGAAACTTCAATATTTTCTCTTAGTTCTGATGTGTTGGGAGTTTTAATGTTGGTTGTTAACATGAATACAAGTTAATTCTGCTGACTGCCAACAGTTTGATTTTCATCCGCTTAAGGTTGACTCAGCCTTACATCCTTCTGAGGTCGGTAAAATGAGGACCCAGATTATTGGGGACAATGTGCTGACTCTGTAAACTGCTTAGAGCTGCAAGGCACTATGCAGCGGTATAATAAGTCTAAGTGTTATTGCTATTATGTGGAATTAACTAAAATCAGCCAAGTTGCTGAGCATAAAAACTAGTAAGGATGGTATTTTTACTTTTTTTCCTTATTGCTCTTTAGCTAACTTACCATAATTATTTAAAAATATGAGTCATTACCTGGCTTCAGGCTTATATGATCTTGTTCAAGACCTTTAAATGAAATAACAAACTTGAGATTCTTAGCTCTTTAGATCCCTTTTATCCATTTGTCATTGCTCTATTCTGTTGACTTTGGGGAAGCATTTTTATTAGCTGCTGACTCACTCATGGTTCAGAAAAGATCAGTTTAGATAAAGTCTGAGTGCTTAGCTTCTCAGAAAGGATGAAGACAGAATGTCAGAAGTTTATATTTTTGAATGCCCAGATACAATCCTATGTTTTTTTTTGTATGTCTCTTTGCAAAGATACAATAAAAGAGAGGATGACTTCCCCAGCTTAGGAGAATATAATGATTTCCTGGAAGAAGTGGAAGAAATTGGTAAGTTCTAATGTGTGCATATTTGATTCCCTGCATGCTTTTATTTCCTCATTGAATGTTAAAGCTGAGCCTCTCTTCACTGATCTTTATTGGAGCACTTGCTGATTGGCTAATTACTTTCTCCTTGCATTTTTAATCAAGAGCTCTTCAATTGGAGGAATGCATCTGAGTAATAAATGTTTCTAGCAGTCATAGTAAGGATGGGTTGTGGTATGGTGGGAAACACATACAGCAGATGTGGTTATAAAAATGCCTTGTAGGTTATTGCTGGGACTGCAAAAGAAAAACTCCCTCCAAAGAAGAAGGGGAAGGAGTACCATTCAGTTCTTAATCTTGGCTTCCATTTGCCTTTATTCACCGTGACAGTAGACATATGGCCCCCCTGTAATCCTCTTGCTGCTTCAAGTACAGTAGCTGGGAGGACTTTAGACATTTGACCTTACATACATTTTGGCAATGTATTTATGGGCTCATGCAGAAGGACAGAAGTTAAAGAGCAAGATGAAGTCTCTTTTTTTTCTCCTTCTTTGTTGGATTTCAGGCCTACAGATGCTATAGCTTTGGGGCTGTCTCATTTTGTTGGCAATTGTAACACAACATTCTCATTGGGGAATGTTGACCTAAAGGATTGGGTGGGAAATAGGATCTTTCTTCCATTGGAGACCAAGGCATGTTAATAGGGGAGAGATGTACGTGCTCTTTGAGGTCTTGTTAATATTTAATGCCTTCCCTCTATTTATGGCTATACTCCAGTGAGCTTTTAGTGTGCATATTTCAATCGAATCCTCCTCTCCTTACCCTGCACAGCATTTATCCGAGTATAGGTGGCGAGATATGCATGACCTTTGGGGCTGAGTTTCCCCAAACCTTTCCCTTTAAGAAGTCCCCTGGATCTATTAGCTCTTTCTTTGCTATTTGGGCATTAAAGTTTGCTCTTGGTTTTACTTTTCTCTTTTTGTTTCTGCCCCTGCTCTTAACTATATCATAAAAAGAAGCCAAAAGTGGGTAATAGAAGCAAATTAATGTGCGTACAAATTATTTGACACGGTTGGTGACCTGCAGTGCCACTGTTATTTATTTTACTTTCAACAGTCCTGTTTCTTATTGTATTCAAAAAAAATAATCAAGCTGTAATAAGTTCCTGTGCTCAGTCACTCAAGCCCTGGTCATGTCTTGCTTGGATTACTGCATGAGGCTACCCTTGAAGAATATTCAGATGCTGGATCTGGCACAGAATTTAATTGCAAAAAACACTTCTTGGAGCCCCTAAGGTAGCCCATGTTACACTGCTGTTCCACGAGTTGCACTGGTTACCAGTCTGCTTCCGGGTCCAGGTGTTGGTTATCATCTTTAAGGCCCTTCATAGCATGGATCCAGGTTACCAGGTTAGATGGGTGAGTTACATTGGTAGAAGGGGCATGCTGCAGACTCCATCGGTCAGGGAATTCCAGCTGGCAGGGTCCAGGGGAAGAGCCTTTTCAGATGTGGCTCCTGCCCTTTGGAACATTGTGTCCTTCGAGATGAAATCTGCGCCCATCCTTTTGGCCTTCCCAAAAGGCTTGAAGACTTGGCTCTGTCAACTGGTCTGGGACCACAATGGGGATACGTCGTTCTGGTTAACGGAATGATAAGACTCCCTTCACTTCCCCCTCCCATATGCATCGTATTCTCTTCCTTCTCTTCCCTAACATTATTTTAAACTAATGTTATTGTTTTAATTTTTAATATTTTTATTGGTTCTTAATGATTGTAAACTTCCTAGAGTCATCGCCAGGCTAAATGGGTGACAAACAAAACAAACAAACAAAAAACAAATAAGCATTGACTGATCATTTTTGGACAAGAGAGCTGACACGGGTGAAGCAAAGCTGATATCAGGTGTGATCAGGCAAGGAGGGTGAGCTAACACGCCAATTCGCAAGAAGCAAGTACAGATGTCATTTTGATCAAAAATTAAGTTGCTCAAATTCTGAAGATCCTGGGAAGCCTTATACAGTGAGATGAAGTCCAGTGATTCTTTTTGTCATCCAGTCTTGATGGGTGACAAGCAATAGTTCTTTCTGGCCATTTCTGGAACCTGTGGTGACAAAGAGCTTGAACAAAAGGCTAGCAGCTCCCTCTTCTGGTGAGGTAGCACACTGAGTGAGGGAGCTGGGCCTGAGCACCCCCAGCCAGCTCTGTGGCTGGAGATTTGTGCTGTAGCTGAACTGGGTTTTTTCCCCAGCACTACAAATTTGACTAGTGATTGTGTGTGTGGTTTTGAATGCATGCATACATACCTACCTCACACCACACGGCCTTACAAGTTAAATTGGAATTTTCTTCTTTTGATTTTGAGGATTTTTTTTAGATATGAAAGTAGTATTAAAAACAATTTCTGTTGTGCTATATCTTAACAGGCCAATATGTAAAAGAACGAAAGAGAGATGAACAAAATTACATTTATCTACCTCCTTTTTTCTTGCTTCTTCAGATTGTGAAGGCCTAAGACAGGTTTATTTGGAAATGTATGTTGTGCTTCAGTGTGATCACATAAGAAAAACTTTTCTAAGTTGTCTACATAACAATCATCTGTACTAATGCCAACCTGAGAAATTTGCTTCCTGAAATAGAGTAACAAATGGGCCTTCATGGTCCACTGCATTATATCCTGTCCCGGCTTGACAAATGGGCATTCTGGGAATTGCAGTCCTAGCTTAACGGGAGGTGCTAAACTGTGAGAAGGTGTCACATGGGTGCCAAAGCTAGTTATGTTAATTACCACTGATTACCATAGATGCTGTTCCTTGATAAAAGGTTAAATGATAGCATTCATTCATTCATTCACTCATACATTCTATTCTGTGCCTTATTTTTCCATTCCTAGGTAACTCATAACTCATAAACAAAACACAATATTGATCAAGATTATAGGAAGTTAGTATGGTATTAGCAGTATTTTTATTTAGTTATTGCATGTATCTAAGAGTAGCACAATTTTATTTTTTTTCCTTCCACAAAAATAATCTTAGTTTTGTGAAAGAGATTATTTAAGCCAAAGTTATACCCAGTGAGTTTTCATGGCTGAGAATGAACTAGAATCACATGGGGAAGGTGGTTATTGTGATTAAAGGTGATGCAACCCATTACAGAATCTAGTGGACAATTGCATTTCTGTATTTTTCACATGTTGGATTATTTTGTTTATGAAATAAAATAGAGTAAACTTTATTTTATCTGTTCATTCCATTTTACATACTGGTAGAGCTCACATGAAGTTCTAATATGTAGCATACTTATGCAAAAATCCAAAATGAAACAAACACCTCTTCACAGAACATTAACAACTTGCTGGCTTTTTTATTCTAAACTTTGACAATCAGAAGTGGCTGCCTTATTCTGACCCCAGCCTGTAGTATACCTCAACTATTTTCTGCATCCTTTCTAGCTTCCCAATATTCTTATAAGAATTGAGCAGTGTCTAGAATTGTACCCAGGATTCCAAGTATGGTTGAGCCAAAAATTAATAACGTGGTATTATATAAGAAGCATAATGGGGAAAAATACAATCAAATCTAGACTTTGACTTCAGCATTGTTGAAGAATTCATTGCATTTCTAGAGACTTGCTTCTCTTCCTGTACAGTTTAATTAACACATGATAATGCTTGAATTTTGCATTTTTCACCCTTAGAATAATCCTGTGACTATCTTTTCAGCAGTGACTACAATAACTAGACTGTTGCTTGATGGAATTATGGAACAACTTACGATAAAACAAAATTGAAATAAAAGTATGTGAATATAGATAATCTCACCACTAATTTTTAGAAGAAACATCTTCCAAAATTTCTAATAATAACTATTTTAAAAATAGGAATATTTTGGGAAATATTATTTTTGGAACAAAGGCAGAGCTTTTAATGTTTACTGATATATAGCTGTCCTCCTCTCCTCTCTTTTTCTCTTCCCTCCCCTCCCCTTCCCCATTGTTTTTTTAATCAAAATTTATCCAGTATTCAACCTCACCAACAATGTTGATGTAGAAAGCACAAGAAAGAAAATGGAAATATACCAGAAAGAAAACAAAGAAGTTATTCATAAAAATAAGATTAAATTGGTAAGTTTTGTAGGGCTTGTTTGTGTCATTTTTTTCTGAATTAATTGAAATAAAGGAATTAATAGCAAAATATTTAAAAGCATCTGTTCCATCTGCTCATCCATTTTTGGAGATCCTTTATCTGGTGACTTGAACATATAGGATATAGATATCTGCACTGTCATTTCAACAAACCACCAGGGAAAATAGAGTAGACTGAAGTATCCATGACATATAAGGAAAAACATATTTGGTTTTTGGTATATTTGGTTTCCAGCTTTGCTTAGAATTCTTGAAACATGGATGTAATCTAATCTTTAACTGAACAAATAAGGGAGGTTCAGATCATTTGGACATGTTTCTATTGTTAGATTTGAATGAGATTTAGCCTATTTCTAAAGTAAATAAGATCTTGGTACCTTTATCTTGTTAGTCTGAAAAGGATGCTCATGAGATGACTTCTGTTATGGGAAAGGATGATATCAGCCCCCATCTATGTCAAGATACAAGAAACTTTATAATATCCTTGATGTCCATAGTTGACATTTCCTAAGTGTAGATACTAACTGCTTTTTTCAGGTTTTCTGTTGCCCTAGTCTTGTACCTTTAACAAGTTAAAATTCAGAAGTATTAATTATTATGGTTCTACTTAGTCTCGAGAACAAGATGAGCTGGAAGAGGCACTGGAGGTTGAAAGGCAGGAGAAAGAACAGAGGCGGCTTCTTATACAAAAGGAGGAACAAATGCAACAGATGTTGAAGAGGAAGAATAAACAGGAACTTCTGGATAAGTTGGTAAGTAATGAAAGAAACAGGTTTAATAAGCAACTACATATTACTGACTTCTGAAACTGACTGATTATATTTCTCTTTTGTATGGTTTATTCCTTTTTTCCTACCACCAAAGAATAATACTAAAGGATTAACTCAGAGTTTTCCTTTATTATTCTTTTATTTCTTGCAATCATTGCAGCTCTTTTCTTATGAAATTCAAGAAACATCTGTAATCTTTATTTCTTAGACAGTCCTGTGGAATAGATTATTAACAGCTTAACAAAAACTGAGACTATATAGGGATTTGAATACTAGTAGTTTTACTCTATACTGGTTGAATGAGCTGGAGTAGAATATTGGATTTCTGCTGAGAACTGGTTTTTCTGCCTTTTTCTCTTTTCTCTCTCTTCGTTCGTAATTAGTTGTCAGTTCATTACACACACACACACACATACACACACACACACACACACACACACACACACACACACGATTATGGATATATTTGAAACCTAAATTGAAAGGGGGGAGAGTAAGGCAGGAGCCAACTACATCTATAAAAACTATTAAGGCAGCTGAAGCTATCACCCTTATCTCAAAATTGGCGGAGTTGGTAGGTAACCTGGTAGCAAAGAGCATCCTTGGAAAGACTACTGACCAGCCAGATAGCATGGAAAAATACACCAAGTGGAGCCAAGTGGTTTGCTGATTGCTTCTTTTGTTAGCTAGGGCAGGGAGGAGGAGGAGGAGGAGGAGGAGGAGGACAAGAAGTTGGAGTTGTTTGGCTTCAAAGTTGATGGACATGTATCTGGAGCTGAATTCTTATAAATAACAGTTTCAAAGCTAGAAGGGTAAATGCTTCTCTTTAACTTAAGCAAGCCTGTTGAATAAGGAAGGGGAAATTGCATGCTGGCTCGGCCCAGCCTTTATCCCATAGTATATTTTTTTAAGCTGTGGGGGAATTTTTTTACAGTTTAAAATAACTAAATGAAGGATATATTTCTTCTAAATCTCATTTCCCACCCCTCTTCAGTCCTTCTTTATATAAAATATTTCCAGATCAGCTTCAACTTGAAAGAATGTAAAAAAGCAAACAAAAATGGGCTATTCCAACATCTAAAATCTCAAATAGTTATATTCAAAACAACAAATGATTTTGAATTTTTGCTTGCAGAATAAGAGAAAATAGAGTGAAAATAAACTGAATGTATGAGGGCTGAGGAAAATAGCAGTCCTTTCTTTGATGTAACATTTAGGAAAACTTACCATTGACTAGCCTCATGATGTTTTCTATTTATATCAAATGCTCACTCCACATTATCTGCTGAAATCTTCAAGTCACTAGTAAATTCCATTAGCTTTTGTAGGAGAGTTAGATACACAAAAATCATTTTGAATTGAGGCTAAGCGTTCCAGGAAATGTTTAGTAACTAGCAATACAAAAGGGGGAAAAGTATAATTGTGATGGATGGGGATTGTTCATTTGCACTGTGCAATCTGCAACTACCTAGGGTTTGACCTACTAGTCTGCAATATACAGAAAAACTCATTAAGTCATGCTCCAGAGATGGCTGTCCAACCTCCTTTTAAAATTCTCTAGAGAAAGAAGTCACAATCTTCTTAGGTAGCCTGTTCCATTGCTGTATAGATCTTACAATCAATTGACATTGAAAATGAAAGAAAAAGAAGACTCAGTTTATTGTAGAACATGGGATACTTTTTATCATTGGCTAGAAAAACGAGCTAGAGAGAAAGGAACTTAATATGTATATATGTAAAAGATTTTACAATCAAGATTTTTTTCTTTATATTTAAACAAATTTAAAGTTCTTGCAACTTATGCCTATTCATTCTTTTTCCATGGTAATGGAAATAGTTCCTGGCCATCTTTCCTTTGGTACTCTTTGATGTATCTGAATAGATCTTCCCTCATTTTTTTCTCCATAGTGAGCAAACCATGTTCTATTAACCTGTATTCATGGGACATGTTCTTAAGTGTCTCTATCAATTTTGTTAACCTCCTCTGAGTTGGTTCTAATCTGTCAATGTTCTTTTGTAAATGTAGTGACTATACAAAGTATTCCAGGTATGTCTCATCATTGTAGAGCCAAAGGAATAAGGATTTATTTATTTAACTTGTAGGACTGCATAAACATCAGTGACTCAAGATGTCATGCAATAATATTTAAAACATCACAAAATGGAGTTGGCAAACCTCCCAATTTTGTCTTATCTGCAAATTTGATAAGCAGATATCAATTCCATTATCCGGGTTACTAATAAAATGTTGAATAATATGGCTCCAAGATAGATCCCTAATTACTAGCTTGATGTAGAACCATTAATCCTGATTCTCATAATTAGTCAGTTAACCGCTGTCTCTTTAGTATTGTACCATCTAAATCATATTTTAACACCTTGTCAATGAGAATATTATGTAGAACCTTGTCTAAAGTTTGCTGAAATTTAGGTAGCTTATCTCCACAGCATTCCTCTTATCCACCAAAATATTTACTTTGTTAAAGGTGAGCTTTATTTAATATGACTTATTTTTTTTGCAAAATCCTGCTGACTCTTAGAAATCACGATGGTTTCAAATGACCTACTTTATTACTGGCTGTAACACCTTTTTAGGTACTGATGTTAGGCTCAGTGGGATTCTCTATTTTCCCCTTTCTTGAAAAGGAGGGGCCACATTTGTTCTTTTCTCATCCTTCAGCATCTCCCCAATTCCATAGGTCTCTTCAAAGTTAAATAATAAAGGACCTGTCAATGTTTAGTCATCTTTCAGTATTCTAAGATGCATTTCATAAGGGTCTGAGGACTTGATTCCTACTGCATTTACCACATTTTATGTTTCTTTTAATGTATTTTCGTTTCCATATAAGCACATTCTTGGTCACAGTAATTTTTTCCCCCACATTAATTCTTCACAACAAATGATATAACTACCCACTAGGTTTCTACCAGTAATTGTGCACTTTAAAATCTCTTCAACCATTTCCCCATCTTTGCACATGTGCAAATGTAGCTGCCACATTGTTAATAGGTTTGATTAAACATTTTTTGGTGAAACCAGCCAATGGCTTTGTTTTAATGAAATGACCGACTGAGTCATTTATTAACAATATTTATGGCAAATATCTCAGGTGGGGTATATCAAAGTCATACTCAACAAAGAATAAAAATACTACATCTACTTATTAAATCTTCAGTAAGCAGTCTTTTGGAGGATCCTCTAGAAGAGATCATGAGGGTATGGGGAAGGGGAAGATCTGTTTGGTCAAAGTTCAGCTAGCCAAAGTTCAGCCAGTAAATAATATACTCTGGACTTCATCCAGAATCTCGGCTAGTTTTTTGAAAGAGCCAACCTCTGGGTAGGAAGTTATATAATCTAAGTTGAGAGATGGTGACTAGCTCCACACTCAGCTTGCTTTATAACTAAAAGAGGATTTTATTTTAGTTCCTCTTCATTGTAGTCTTACACTATAATCAGAGAGAGCACAGTCTCTCACCATATTTGCCCTCCCAAAGGAGGGTTTCTCTATCCCGGCTAAGTGGAAGAATACTGATCATAGCTTTTGCTCTCATGTGGCAAGAAAGGAACTCTATAGGAAGCATTCCTGAAAGTAGATGTACCTTACATATAATTAGACTATGAAGGTCAATTCAAAATAGCTTTATCACTAACAGTTTACTTTTTATAATGACTTAAGAGAGGAAAAGGAGGGAAAGCTTATACTGAGTCACCAAAGTGTTTTCAACTCAAATTTAAATGCTCTTTTAATTTAGATGAACTGAACATTATTTTCTTATAAAGCAATTGGTTTTACGGGAAATCCATTTTGCCAAATGCCTTGCAAAAAAGAGCAGTTATAAATAATCTTTAGAAAATGACCAAAATAGGTAATTGAAAGACCTCTGGGTACACATCTTTACTAAACATATCTAAGTACGTTGTTAATGACCGAAAGGTAAAGTGAAGGGCAGGAGTTTGTGTTATTTTCTTCCCCTAAGGCAAATACTGTCAATCTTTTTTGTTTAAGGCCAATTTCAAAAGTTAATTATTGTGAAGAAAAATATTTTGAAGAATATTCCTAATTCTGAAATGTGCTTAAATATTCTAAAATAGTTGTATTAGTAGTAAGGATTCTCAATATTCTCCTCAAGTACAAATTCTCATTCAATAATAGTAATTTTTTTTTTTTCTGTTCATTCTTGTCCAGTTCTCAGAGACTGCCTGGATAAGTCCCTGTAGTTTTTTGGGCAAGGTTTTTCAGAAGTGGTTTGCTATCGCCTCCTTCTTAGGGCTAAGAGAAAGTGACTGGCCCAAGCTCACTCAGTTGCTTTTGTGCCCAAGGAGGGACTACAGTTTATGTTTTCTTGGTTTCCAGTCTGGATGCCACTACACCAAACTGCCTACTAATGTATAGATATATGTATTTTAGTGCTCTTTTGCTATTAAAGTAGAATCACCCATTACCTTAAAAACAACTAAGCCTAAGCACATATTTATCCCATAACTGGACACATTTTCTATTTGTTGTGTGATAAGGAGATCATTTATGCATTTCAAAAATCATAGTAAGCCAACAGTTCCATTACATGAACAGGAAATTATATTTCTTCCCTAATCTCTCAGGAATTATAGCAAGTAGATCAACCAATTCTTTCACATTATGAAATGTGTGATTTGAAATAATGGTAAACCCTTGTTTATCTTACTCTAAATATTTTATGGTAAGTGGAGTCAGGTTCTAATTCTGTTTCAGTAAGCTGGAATCTTTATTCAATTGCTCCAGTTTTTTAAGGGGCATCAAAAAGAGATACTTAATGTTTATAATATCTAATAAAAAAATGACACAATCATATGTATTTTTCTATCCTTCCTCTCTGCCCCCATTCCTGCTGTGCTGCAGCATCATGGGTTTGTGTGTGTGTGTATGTGTATATATGTGTGTGTGTGTGTGTATTGCTGTTGTTTTTGTTGCTGGAAAGTATGAATGAAGACTACTAAGAGTATACGCCATGCCAAGAATATATACTCCCATCAGAATCACCCAAGGTGTGAAGGTCATCCCAGTTGCCTAGCTATATCAAGTAGGCAGTTATATCTGGTAGCAGGAGGAAGATAATCACACAACAGCAAAGATGATTTCATGCTGCATGAGAGAAGAGGTGGCATACCATTTCTGTATTTTATCAAGAAAATTAGATGGATGGAGCATGTAAAGCTTATGTATGTATGTATGCATGCATGTATGAGTTTATTTATGTTTATGTGTTTATGTGTTTGTTTGTTTATGTATTTATATATTTATGTATTTATAATCTTTAACTGCTCAGTAGCCAAAGCTTTGTTTTAGTTATATTAAACATGCTAAACATACAATTTGAGTGAAAGCATATACAATAAAATCAAATGACATATAAAATAAAATAATAAGTAGCACTAAGGGTTAGTAATTCAAAATGAAAAACAATATGAATTATAACACTAATAAAAACAATTAAAATATAGTTGAAAGTGCAATTAAAATTTAAAATGAAAAGAGTTTGGAAAATAGTAAGCTATTTGTCTGGCATTGAAATGATTCTAAGGTGGGTGTCAGTCAAGCCTCTTTGGGGAGGGCATTCCATATAGGTTGCCATCATAGAAAAAGATTTCTCACTTTTAGAGCCACCCACACCTCTTTTGGTGGTGGGATCTGGAGGAGGACCTCATTAGAAGATGTAATAGTAGTAAAGTTGGAAGGGACCTTGGAGGTCATCTAGTTCAACCCCCTGCTCAGGCAGGAAACCCTACACCATTTCGGACAAAGGTCTTAAGGTCTGAGTAGGTATATACATAAGAAGATCTTCCTTCAAGTAACCTAGTCTTATAGGGCCTTAATGACCAAAACTGGTACTTTGAATTGGGTCTGGAAATCAACCAGCAGCCATTGACAATGTAGTTTCAGTTGATCAGGTCATCATGATACTGAGGAAGAACTGAATATCTTTCTGACTACTGTACTAATCATGTTTATGACATGGATAGGTTACAACTTTCAGAATGCCTAGTTGTTGTTGACATACAGAAAAGAGAATCTGAAACTGTAAAGGTAGAATTAAAGTGAAAATATGGAATGTTACAAGCCTGAACATTGGAAACCTCAAAATACTGAAAGGAATTTGCTCGTTGACATCTTAAGCAACAGTGAATTGAAATGTATGGGGATTGGACACTTTCACTTAGAAAACAAACATTTTACTATTCAGGAACAAAAAATAAAGAAGGAACTATGGTGCTTTCATAGTTAGGAAAGGTATAGCAGCAGCAATATTTAGATACAGTACAATTATACTAGTTGGATTCCCTTTAATATACAATTTATGTTCCATTCACTGATGCAGAATAAGAGGTTGACACGTTTTATGGTCAAGTTCAATCTGAAATTGATGCAATATGCAAGCAGGATGTGCTACTTGTGGTTGGAGACAAGATTAGCAAACTTGGAAATAGTAAGAGCAAAGTAATAGTTCTGTATGATTTAAGAAACAGAAATAAAGCATGAGAATGACTTAACAGCTTCTGCCAATCTGGTGATTTTTTTCATTGCTAACACAGTCTTCAGATAATCAAGACACCACCTATATAAATAGACATCACCAGGTAGAGTACATAGAAATCAAATTGACTATATTATTTACACAAGGAGGTGGAAGAGCTCAGTTAAACAGCAACAATGTACCCAGGGACTGACTGCAGAACACACCATAATCTATTCATAGACAAGTTCCAAGTTAAGCTAAAGTGGAAGAAGAAAATCAACTACCTTCCATGATGCGATTTTGAGCTTATGTCCACCCTTTTCAAAGAAAACTTCAGGAAACACTTTGAAGTCTTGAAACTAATTAATAGGAAACCGGAGGAAACACTGATTGAAATTTTATTTGCCTTTTGCTAACCTGGGTGATATTATTATGCTGTCCTAAGTTTTAAGTAAGTTTTTGAGCAACTCTGTTGTCCATTTGAATCAATGGGTGCACTGTTTTGTATTAAAGAGGTTGTCTTGCTTTTATGCATAGAAATTATTAAAGGAGAAAATAACTAATAAAGAAGAAATCTCATTGTGTGAGAGGACTGATGAGAGTAACTTTCAAACAGCCTCAAAATCCAGTAAAGAACCAAACTGGATGGAAGTTTTGGATCCAGCTTAGATGACTTTCTGTGCTGTTTCTTTTTAGAATGGTTAATTCTAATTATTATGACTTTAAAAGTGATACTAATTACACGCTTATGTAATTATTAGAATAATGGTTCTATTTTAATACATTTGTCTTTTTGGTTCTTACATTTTATTACATTTTTGTTAATGCAGAATCTATAAAGATATATTTATAAGGTTTTTTTTTAATTTAATGAGACTAATGTAGCTTTCTTCTATTAGTAAAAATGACCATTTTCTGGTAAACTGGGAGTATTGAGCTTCATTCTTCTGGAAATGGCCAGAGAAAGCCATTTTTGAGAAAGGTGCAATTTGTTGTTCTAGGTAGGAATACATGACAGTAATGGTAGATGGTTTATGGCTTTTAAATATTTTACTCTTCTGTTTTTAATTTTGATTGTAGGAAAGTTCTCATCTGCCAGCTTCTTTGCTGTTAGCCCAGCATAAAGATCGGTCTACACAGCTAGAAATGCAACTGGAGATTCCCAAACCTGTCAAACCAGTGGCATTTTCAACAGGCATCAAAATGGTAAGATACAAACAACTTTCTCTGTGTATAAGAGAATTATTTTTTCCTTTTCCAATCTGAGTTTGGAACAATAAATTAAATTCTAGATTCACTGTAGCACTTAAGCTGTGATTAACTGATTAGAAGACAGGGATAAAGAAAACAGAATTATATACTAATTGACCTCCAAGGTCCCTTCCAACTTTATTATTATTATTATTAATTTTGGTGAGTCAACAACCTTAAAGCAGTTGCAATTGAAAAGGCAGAAAAAAGGCTGTTATTTTGGCCTCATTTTTGAAGGATTGACAGTCCTATTCTTTAGGAAATATGGATGATAATATTGTGAAAAAACTCTAAAAGAATCTCTCCAGAGTTTAACTACATTTGATATATGTTTATTTTCTCATAAAAATTGACAGTTCCTTGGCTGTGTTACAGATTGTATGTACTCTTTTCTTATCAACGATCAACATTCATTCTTGACTGGCTTTGGACATAACATTAATCTTTGATATAATTATGAAGAAATAATACTTTTTATTTCTATTTTCAATTAATCTTGATTATACAGATATGCAGACATATATTCAATCTTGACAGTGGTTTAGGGCATTCTTCAACCTAGTGATCTCCAGTTGCACTGGATTACAACAATCTGTTGGTAAATAGTTGTAGCTCTTATGCTTGGGAAAGGCTGAGTTAAAGAGGAAGGCTTTCTTCCATACAGTATCAACCTTGTGAACTCTCAAGTTTCCTCTTTCCATTATGTATTCAAAATGGACAGGGATTAATATATACACACATATATTTGTGTGTGTGTGTGTGTGTGTATGTATGTATGTGTGTGTATGTATATAGCATGTGTTTATGGGTATATATATATATATATATATATATATATATATATATATATATATATATATTTTCTGAGGTTTTCGCGGGTGTTTGTATGTAGGTCTTTGGTTGTTCGGGTTTTCTCCCGCGTAAAATTGGAAGTGTCTTGGCGACGTTTCGACGAAGTCCCATTCGTCATCTTCAGGCTGGTGTTTTCAGCTTCGTGCTTCGAGACCACAAACCAGAAGCCAGACCAGAGCTGCATCATTAGCCACTTTAAAGCCCTCCAATCCATACATGAAGCAAACTGACACCCTCCATGAAAATGAGGCACGACCACAAACGCGAAGCCAAAAAATAGCAAGGCAGCCCAAAATCTAAAACCCCTCTGCAACTCAGACTAACCTGAGCACAACCAAACAGAACACTCCCCCAGCCAATCAGAGCACAGCCGACCCCCCAGCCAATCAGAGCACAGCCAACCCCCCAGCCAATCAGAGCACAGCCACGCCCCTAACCAATCAGAACACACCTCCACCCAATCAGAACACAGCCAAGCTCCCACCCAATCAGTTTATACCCCCACTGGCAGTTAAAAGGAAGAAACAGCTAAGACCACACATTGCTGCTCGAAGCACGAAGCTGAAAACACCAGCCTGAAGATGACGAATGGGACTTCGTTGAAACGTCGCCAAGACACTTCCAATTTTACGCTGGAGAAAACCCGAACAACCAAAGACCTACATACATATATATATATATATATATATATATATATATATATACTTTCTTTTGAGAGTGGGCAACAGAATTTCATTTTTAATGTGTGCCAGTATGCTCAGAGTAAAAAAAAAATGACAATGAAAGTTACCTTATCTCTCTTTTATGTCATAAAATATGTTGGTAAATGTTTTTTGATAGAATCATTGAACATTTTTCGGGAAAAGAGCAGATTCTTGCTAGGAGGAAGATTTGTTTTAAAAGGTTTCTTTAAAGACAAAACTTTTATTTGGTGTTATTTATTTCTCTTGAAGTATGACAGTGATGATAATCTTCAGTTCTCTCAGTTTTACTTTGCAGAGGTTGTCATAAAAGTCAAGATAACTTCTGTCTGCCTCTTAGAGGTGGGACTGCCATTACATGGTTGCAACCGCCATCCTGTTAATCTCCCTTGACATCTTTGAACTGTTTTAAATGTATTATTTCATATTTACATTTCTCTTTTGTGATCTTTCTTTTGAATACCAAGAAAGGATAACACAGGACAAGTTGTTGATCAGGCCCAGAATTAGTGTTTACTTGTCTTAGCTCAGTTTAATATAACTCTTTATTGCTAACTGCCTTTGTATCCTGCCTTTCTCAGAGAGATTGTGGTAGTTTAGATGAGAGAGGAGGTAGAGAGGTCTCTCCTGATTTCATCCCCACAACAATAGCTTGGTGAGGTAGACTGGGCTGAAAAAAAATAACTGGATCAAAGGCTGATACTTAAGCATCTCACTACATTAGCTCTCTTTTAATAAATAAGGTACTACTATACATAAATAGATTTGAGCTGTATGCTGAAAAGTGTCATTAGATCAGTTTTGAAAAAAATGTATGCTAACTTGCCAACTAATATATAGAGTTGTTTAATTAGTTTAAGGATTACTAGAACTTGTTGTAAAGGCAGTTGACACAATTAGCTTATTTTAGCTTCTATTCTTTCCCATTCTGAGGGCCAATTTAAGGGTGTTGCAGTAGTACTGGGCCTCAGAAAGTAGGAGCAGGGACACTTCCCAGTTTCCCCACATGTCATCCCTTAACTCCTTATGCCAGATATAGCTTAGCCTGTAATATTCTCTATACTATTAATTTTTTTAAAAAAATGATGATGTGACAATGGATGTTGGGGCTCTGATGACTGAGAATTAGCAGCCATTTTACTTTTGCTTTTAATGTGCCTTTTCTATTCTTTTAGAGTTCAGATGTAGAAGGGGGGATGAGGTAAATGCTTGAGGGTTTAGCTAGCCATAACAATGTAGAAATGTGGGAACTCAAGGACATTGTCTGATAAGGTTTTGGTGGGCTGAGGAGCTGGAGAGAAAAGCCCAAGGTTTGCGCTAATTGGTGAACGTGATTTATGACAGCTTTTGTGGGGTGGGAATTGCAACTTGTTACTTTGTATCTGGGGGGAGGGAAGCTCAGTCTTGGGTTCAACTATGTAAGTGCCGATACTTTGTATCCTAATAAAATGTTCTTTAAGGAAGAATTCTTGCCTTGAAGTTCTTTTACTGGTTTCATCTATCGGAACCATGACATATACTATAGTTGTAAAAAAATGTTCATCTTTCTGTCATCATATCTGCCCTTCTTGGAATCACTGCCTATCTTGTGGAGAAAATATTGATAGCCACTTTAGCCCTGTAGTTGCTATGAGCTTGGTCAATATCCAGCCATGCCACTGCCACTCCACTGCCCAATCAGCTCCCTCCCTCCTGTTGTTAGGTCTGGGGAGGGACTGAGATGTCTGCTGCTTTGCCAATCTGGACTCCTTGCCATTCTCCAATGAGGGGGTGGGGTGAAATTGCTGCCAGGGAACCTGGCTGCAGTGGGTCTGATATTTCTCTTCTCCCATCTTACCTGCTGCCTCTTATTTCTGTTGAGGAAAAGGATGCAAGGAAGAGAGGGATATTTAACATCTCATTTTGTAGAATCAATTTCTGTGTTAATCTAGCTGGATGGGGGCTAAATGTGAGGTTGCATTGTGCCCACAAATTTCTTACATAATCCCTAATTTTTCTCCATATTTTAGTAAAAAGTAATGCTTGAAACTACTCTGAACAGTACTTTCCTTTTTATTAAAAAAAATGCTATTAGCCTTAGAGCCATGAGCTATTTATCTTTGAGTTAGACAAATGAAGCAAAATCCTCAGCTAAAACCAAGGTTCTGATTTTATTTCAATGGACCTCATTTATAAGTAATTATAAATATATGAAACTGTATTTATACACATACATTTTTATTTTTGATTCTTTCTATTTGTATTTCTCTCTCTACTCATCTCCCTGTTCTTTAACTTTGAGCTGAAAAAGTCTTAAGGGTAGATTTGATCTTTCTTGCTTCCTTAGGTTCTCAAATGAGTACGTATGAGTCAGTTTTCATAATCAGACTATTGGTCTGTCTGACCACTGGTTCATTTAGTGTTACATTATCCATTCTAACTGGCTGGTATTAGTTTTCTTTCACCCTGAACAGAAGTCTTGCCAATTCCAGTACTTGGGTTTCCTTAAATTGGAATTGCAAGACTTGAATCTGGGTTGCTGTGAATGTAAAATATTTGTTCAACACTGACCTATGACCCTACCTTTAAAACCGATGCCACACTGTCTAGGATAAGAATGAAAAACTGAATCCAGCAAAATGACTGGATGCTTCCCAAGTTTACATCTGGAGTACAGGTGAACTCAATCTGGAGGAGAGTCCATGCAATTGGAGTTCTTGTTCTAAGTCATTTCTTCTTGACTTGCTTCCTCTGGCTTTCAGCCAATGTTCTTGTTGTGCCTGTGCACATCTTGTTCTCTGATTCAGTCTGAGTGAAGCTTTTGAGGGGAAATATGTCAATATGAATGCCTTGTAGGCTGAAATTTTTCAATCCCTGATCTAAGGGTTTCTGTGGTTGTTTATGCTATTATATATTAATAATATATTATTACTGCCACATTATGAACCATAATGCTTGGCATCTCACAAAACAATAAAAACAAAAAATGCAAACAACCAGCGCACAGGGCAACACTCTCCCACACATCAACATTCCACCTTCCACTGGGCTCCAGCTTCCTCATACCCCAGTGCTTGTGGGAAGAGCTCCTCAAGGCTTTCTAGAAGACCAGGAGGATCTGCTGGATGTCATGGGGAAGAAAGTTCCACTGGGCAAGGGCAGCTATAGAGAAGTGCACTTTGTAGGTGCTGCTTGATTACCAGATTTAAGAGAAGGGACCTGGAACACATACATTCTATCTAACCCTCAGGCATTAGAATGAGCAGATACCACAGATGGTTCCACAAATGTTGTTTATGATATTATCTTTGTTTTAAGGTCCTCATAGGTCCTTCTGATGGTGAGAGAATGAGGAAAAGTTATCTGCTGTGTAGTAGCCCCAAAACAATGGAGCACCATTTGAGGAAGCTTATTCCATTCCCC